GTGTATTGTTTAGGGTTTTTCTGGTCCTGATGAAGCACGTGGTAATCTTGATAGGGGGATGGACACACAGGTTATGTTAATTTGTTGTTATGGAAATGTTAATGCCGCAATTAATTTGCAAGCTCCATTTCGGTTTGATGACATGGTTAACTGTGTGTGCGAAAAGTTTCCTGGGTTAACACCGGCCCAAGTGTGTTTGTTCTTCAAGATACCAGGTTATAACAATTTCATATTACATAATGATGTCGACGTGGAAAACATGGTATTTCTTGCACGGTCTTTCCGTCTGCAATGCATCGATGTCATCATTCAATTACAAGAGTCACGCGACGCTGACAATGCTGGCAGCCCGGTTCATAATATGCAGACTGTCCCGTGTCACACAGCGGGGGTGTGTGATGATTCCTTGACTTCTGTTTTTCTCTTTTTTCATTTAATCCTCTAGCTTCTTTGCTTTCTAGCTCTTTTGCTTGAATCCGCCATTGTTCCAAGCTTTCAAGCTCTCCAACTGTCTTCGTTCCTCTTCTCCGGTGAAGCTTATGTGATTCTGTTATTTTCGTATCCGTCGTCAGACTTCGGCAATTCTCATTCCAGCTTCCCTCTTTCTGGTAAGCCAATGTTCTTCCTGGTTTTATTTCTTGTTGCTTTCCAAGAAGCTCTGCTTCATTGTTTAATCACCATTGTTGTTTTACTTGTTGTTTCCAAATCATCTTCTTTAATACACACTGTTTACACATCTGTTGATTTCTGCCACTGTTCTTGGCTTGACACACTTGTGCAATCTTTTTGCCTTGATTTCTTGATAGCTTCATCATTATTCTTGATTACGAATTACATTCATGTTTCTGTTTTTGTGTCTTTTCCCAGATTTTTTGCTTTCAATCCTTGCTTTCAAAACTTCGAGGTGCCAATCGCCAAGAAAAGCTTTGATCAAACTCTTTAGGAGGTCGATGCTGAGCTCGTGGCTGAGAAGGCTGCTGAGAAGTTCTTTCCAACTGTCTTCTGGGGGTGAGACATAACCTACCGCTGATGCCGAGTAGTTTGCTTCCTTCTTGAAATTGATGCCGAGGTAGCGGTAGAGAAGCTCCTCCAACTGACTGCCGAGGCTGAACCATTGTCGTCCGTCGAAGTAGATTAGTCCGACGTTCTTGCTTTCAGTCCCTAGTTTTTTAAGGTCTTCATTTTTGTACTTGCCAACCTTCTCAGCTCTTAACAAGCTAGTTGGTCATCCCAGATGATCATATTTCGGAAACGCCTTTCAGTGTTATCTCGGCTATACCAAACTTGTAAATTTGCTTCAAATTTCAACAAGTGTTAACATTCCTTGCTCCTTAATTATCATTCATTCCCCATGTACCTTCTCCCTGCCCCCTAATGTGAACATAAGTTGCACTTAGGATCACTTTAGGGAAGTTGGCTTCGTACCGTAGTCACAGACCTGATGTGTTCTTCTCTCGCCGATGTATTAAAACTTCTGGTATTTAATTCACCCCCTTTAGACCCTCTTTCTCTTGGCATTTGCAAACTATCATCGCTGTTTCTTGAAGCATTTATTCCTTTTCACAATTCTGGTCACCACTTCTGGCGTGCATTTAGTGGTTCTAATCAAAACGACGTTTGACTCTGGAGAATCTTTTGCCGACATTTAACTTTGTGCACTCTTTAGCTTGTAAATTCTCTCAGAATTTCAACAAGTGTTAAACATCATTTCGGTTTAACTTCGGTTAAGTATCATCTCAGTTTAACTTCAGTTAAACATCACCTCAGTTTAACTTCGGTTAAACATCATCTCGGCTTAACTTCGGTTAAGCATCA